TTTCAAAATATATTTTTACCAAATAATGAGGTTTAAACAAGGGCTTAATATCTTTCTAAATAAAATTACATGTATTTTATGAAATTATATATTTATATCCCTAAATGTAAATGTTGCAAATATTGGTTTGAAATAATGATAGGGTCTCGAAGGAATAAGTCACGTGAATGCACGTGACACCCCATACATTCCGGCTTGCCCTTCCCTTTCACATTTTCAAATATATAAACAACGAAAAAAAGGGTCACGAGAGTCCCACGTGAGCAGCTATCTCAGTTCTGACAAAAAGAACAGTTGTCAGACACTTATTGTGATGTTTGTTTGTTGGTTTCTCTTTTCTATCAATTTAACGCCTGTGTTTATCACATTTTCGATTTGTTGGAATTTGATTTCTAGAACAAAAGTAAAGACAAACCAGGTAATGGGTCCCACCGCACATCAAGTTTCCACGTTTAAAACGAATGAAGACTGTGGTGCCACTCAAAATGATTTTTTCAATCTATCATAAATAATCTTGGGCCACCATCAGGGGATATTTCAGTGATGTAAAAAACAGTAGTGAGATAGTCTCAGTCTTGTTGATAGCTACAGTGTGAGGGTTCGATTCTTGAAATATAAAGTTGGACTCTTTATGGACATCAGTGTACGGGCAAACTCTTGTTTCCTGACCTGTTGGGACACATCCCGCGATTTACTTCTCTCACGATGCTCTAAGGAAGGGGCGATGAAAGTTCTCAAAGTTGGAGTTCAACCATTTTTTTACAAATTGAAATAGCTGCAATGGTGGCAACCTACTAAAAGTTGCAGCACAACCCATATTTCATGTGTTGACTTCATGCTATTGAGTGGCACCATTGACTCTTTATTCTAAATTTTTACCGTTAATTATACAAAGAAGGATCATGCTATGAGTACAAAATGAGATACAAAAAGAGTTACAAAATCAACAAGTGGCGGCTGTCGATTAGAGGGGCGGCTGGCCCCACAGCTGTCCTTCCAATAGAGGGCCGTCACTTGTTGATTTTGTAACCCATTTTGTATATGATTTAGTGCAAATAGAATAATCCTACAAAGAAAGGATACTAATGATATACACTTCACTCCCTTAGAAAAATAATAAATAAATCTCTGAAAATAATAAGTAAAATTGGGTCATGACAATTACTTTTTGATCAATGAGTTATTGGTTTTGAAAAATCTCAAAATTTCAAAATATTATTCAATTAACAACAAAATAAAAGCTAACACTAATCTTAGCTTTTAAAGAAAAAGAAAAATGAAAACCCTAAAAGCTATATTCATCGTTGCTTAGCGATACAAACAAAATTTGTCATCTAACCTTACAAAGAATAAGAAGAATTTTTATTTTACTGCAACATTAATATTATATTGGCATGGATTTTTTCCAAAAAAACATGATACGTTGCAAGTGCTTAGTATTTAGGACGAATGAACTTAACACTCAAATAACTTTTACACATCTTCATTTATAACGGTTAACGAATGATTTAAACTGTGTGTGTCTATATATATATATATATATATATCTATATATATATATATATATATATAGTAAACATGAGAAATTAGGTCATTTGATCATAAAATGGGGATGGAAACATCGCGATTATCATAACATAACATGGGAACGCTGGAAATTTACAAGACCCTAGGCCTAGACAGATGATCTATATATCTTATGTCTGTCTGAGAATAACACCTAGAGAAACAACAATTTCACGTTACTCGGAATTTTTTGGTAAATGTAAACAATTATAATTACATTCACAATTAACTACTAACAAAGTTTATTTATTAACAAATGGCATAGCCTGCCAACCCTTAAAACATAGCCTAGGCCTCTAAATTTATTATGATATTAAAATTTCTGATTTTATAATTAACTTGAGCATGGATTGTGGTTTTCTATTGATATAAACATGAAGGGGATGTGCTTCTCGTAATTGTTGATATACTATTCTTGAACAAGTAATTTGTAATGCAACTTAAAAATAGCATGTTTTATAACTTTTGTTGTATGAAATGTAAAAAAATTTGACAGTTTCTCACATTGTCGTAGATGAAATTTGTATTGTCCTCAATCTTCATTTCGAGCCTCTTTTGTAGCACATCGGTTGATTGGTGCCAAGATGGAGACAGTTTTAAAAATAGTTCAACAAAAATTTTGTTTTTATCTTTTGAGAAAAAAAAATGTTTCAATAAAAACTAAACACCAAAAATCATTTCTATGCACATTTTGAAAAATGACCACTGCAGTTCTCATGTACATTGTTCATATTCTTTTTTCAGGCAGCCTATTTGAACAAATAAATTAATCAGAAAATGATGAATTGACCCATTCAAAACAGAGGACATATTTGAGCCCTTAGGTCTGAACTTGTGCTTGTTTTCAAAGAACTTTGCCCTTGTTTGATCCTCATTATTTAAAATTTATTTTCAACTATACATTTTTCAATAATAATTTTACATGTAAATTGAAAACATTTTTCTTCTTTTTAAACACATATTAAAAAAAAATCATTATTTAAAAATACTTTTTTCTTCAAAATGTGGCTCTAAATTTATATGATATTATAATTTAGAAGAGACGGACTTTTGCTAAAGTGGGATTTACATTTTCAATTTTTTTGATTTGCCCCGTTTAACGATCATTAGAACAAACTGTTTTTGTTATCAAACTTATTTTAACCAAACATCTTCACAATAAAATATTTTACATGTAAATTCAAAAAAATTTACTACTTTTTAACAATACATTCTCTAAAAATCACTATTCAATAATTTATTTCCTCGAAAAAACTCCTTTTAGCCCTATTTGATAACCATTATTAGAAAAGACTGACTTTTGCTGAAGTGGGATTTACATTTTCAATTTTTTGATTTGCCCCATTAGAACAAACTCTTTTTGTTCTAAGACTTATTTTTGACCACGTAATTTATAATAAAATATTTTATACATAAACTAAAAAAAAAATTTACTACTTTTTAACAGCACATTCTTCAAAAAATTACTATTTAAGAATTAATTTTTCAAAAAAAAAAAAAAACTCTTATTAGCCCCTATTTGACAACGGGTAATTATCACAAAATGTCCTTACCTTTTAATATTATTGTGCAAAATGTTTCCACATTTCATTTTTTGACACTTTTACCTTTACATTCACAATTTATTGCGGAAATCATCATTTTCATCAAATTTCTCATGTAAAATGACAAATATACCCCTTATTTAAATAAAATCACAAAAAATAAAAGAAAAGTTAAAGAATAAATTGCAATTATACTCTCATACTTTTTGAAAAAGTGCAAATGAGTCCACATAAATTATTAAAAGGGTAATTAGCATAAACGTCCCCACCTTTTATTTTTATTGTGCAAAACATACATTTCATTTTTTTTGACATTTTCACACTTATTTTTATATTTCATTGTAAAAATTATTATTTTTATCAATTTTCTCAATTAAAAGCTATAAAATGATAAATATACATCATCTTTAAATAATACAAATAATAGCTATAAAATGATAAATATACCCTCATCTTTAAATAATACAAATAATGATAAAAGCTCCCAAATTTTTTTTAAAAAATACAAATAATTTTCAAATGAATAATTAAAAAAACAAAAATCACTTTTTTTAATTATTTATTTTGAATTTATTTGTACTTTTTTGAATTTTTTGAATTATTTATTTTGAATTTATTTGTACTTTTTGAAAATTTTGGAAATACGGTTGCAATTTTTTCTTTATTTTTATTTTTGTTTGTTTAAAGAGGAGTTTATACTTGTCATTTTACAGTTTTTAATTGAGAAAATAGATGAAAATAATGATTTTGGCAATAAAATATGAAATAGAGATGAAAATGTCAAAAAATGAAAGTTAGAGACATTTTAAAAGGTGTGGATGTTTTGTGCTAATTCCTCTTTTAATAATTTATTTAAACTCATTTGCATTTTTTTTTAAAAATTTGGGAGTATGATTACAATTTATTAATTAACTTTTCTTTTCTTTTTTATTTTTTATTTAATAAAGGGTATATTTGTCATTTTACACGGATATATTTGTCATTTTACACGAGAAATTTGATGATTTCCGCAATAAAATATGAAGGTAAGAGTAAAATTACTAAAAAATGAAAGGTATGGACATTTCACACAATAAGGAAGTTTATGCTAATTACCCATTTGACAATCATTATTTTTAAACTCTTTTTTTAATATACTCAATTTTAACTACACATTTACACAATAAAATATTTTGCACGTAAATTTAAATTTTTTCTACTTTTTAATCACATATCCTTGTAAAAATCACTATTCAAAATTTTATTTTTTAAATAATAATTGTCAAACAAGGGTTTATTGGTTCTCAAACATGGGCTTATAGTGAAAATGCATAAACCTTTGCTCCCCCCTTTTTTTAAATTTTTAATATTCGAAATAGTATTTTTTTCAGAGAATATGTGGTTAAAAAAGAAAGATTTTTTTATTTAAATGTAATATTATTTTATGAAAAATTATCTGGTTAAAAATAAAAAAGAAAAAAATTGAAAAAGAAAGGCCAAACATGAACCCCAGTTTGATAGCCATTATTTATAAAAAAAAATGATGTTAGAAATAATGATTTTTTGAAGAATATACGGTTAAAAGGTCAAAAAAATTTAAAAAAATAAATTTATACGTAAAATATTTCATATAAATATATGATTAAAAATGGATACGAGAATTAAAGAATTTATATAATATGCGTGTCTTTTATCTTCTCCATGAAGGAAGTCCTACGCCTACTTATGAGTCAAGGGCCCAAGGCAGCTGCTACCTTTGATTCTGTTTCCAAAGCGGGATAGACAGACAGACTGACAGACAGTCTGCAGGCATTACCTCTCTTTGCTTTAACTCTTTTATTTTTAAGTTTCTTTTCTCTCAACTGTTTTGTATCTACTTGCAATTGAAATTGAATGCGCCATATATAGGGTCCACACTTTTCCAAACCAAACAACCCCTCTCTCTCTCTCTCTCTCTCTCTAGCGGCTTTTCCATGGACTTCAATCTGAAGCAATGGAAAGATCAGCAGCATGAGTTAGAAGAAGAAGAACGACAACAAACATCTTCTACGAAACTACCAAGACTTCTTCTTAACTCCCATCCTCAGCAACCGCCTGGACCTGGTACTGCTGTCTCGTTACTTGTACCTAATCCTACCGGCATCTACTCTTCAGATTCAACAACACCCTCTGCCAACAAACCTCCCTGTATATTATTCTCTCTCTCATCCGTGTGTGTGTATGACAGTGTCTTCAGAAACTTTACTTCCTGCTATGGAAAGTTTAGTTTTTTGTAGCTTACAAGGTTCTTTTTTTTTTCCCCCCTTCCTTGTGGGATATCATTGTCAGGGATGGGAAGTTACTTCAGCTTGGCCCAGTGGCAAGAACTTGAACTGCAGGCAGTGATCTTCAAACATATGATAGCTGGTGCTGCCGTTCCGTCTGAGCTACTCCATCATGTCAACAAAAGCCTCATCAACTCTTCTTCTCCTCCATATTACCAGTCTCATCATCATTACTATTCCCATTATCAGCCAGGTTGTAAGTTTTTAGTGCTTTTCTCACTCCAGCTTATTCTCTCTTTATCTGCACTAGTACTAGATAGCAGTAAAAAAGCTTTACCCATGTTTGGTGGGGATTACTCTCATCTTTTTCAGGGCAAATTTTTGTTCAATTTAGCTCCCTCAATGATGGTGAACTGAGATCACACTAATCTTTAGGGCATTTACTAGTATTAAGCAAGTTACTTGATAAAAACGAATCGAGTTTTTCAAGAACTTTGCTTTGCCTCTAGTCCTTGGAATATGCGAATTTGCATATAAAACATTTATGCAGCTTGGAATTGTTAAGATTGGAATAATTAAGAAGCATTGCCAGAAAGACTTCATTTGCTATACTGTGCTAAACTATGTATATCTATGTTGGATCAGTGCTGCAATCAGGGTACTGGGGGAAATGGGCCATGGATCGGGAGCCGGGCCGATGCAGGAGGACTGACGGCAAGAAATGGCGGTGCTCGAGGGATGTAGTTGCCGGGCAGAAGTATTGCGAGCGCCACGTCCACCGAGGCCGCAACCGTTCAAGAAAGCCTGTGGAAATCCCCACGTCCACCACTACTCCTTACAGCGGCAAAGCAGGCAGCAATGGTTGTCTAGAAGTCCTCAAGACCACTAACGCCGTTGCTAGGGCAGCAACAGGTGGTGGCGGCACCGTGCCTTTTTCTCTTTCCGGGCCTTCGCCTTCCATGGATCTTCTTCACTTTAATCAAAGGTATATAAGCTGTCTTCTGCTAATGAATTGCTTTTAATCTATAATTAAAAGAAATAAACTAGTGGTTAAACTAATTCTTTATGTGTCTGAAATAGGACTTGAGATTAATCAATTCAAATAAGAATCTTGCAATCAAGAACTAATTGTTAAATTAGTTTATTGATAACAACTAAGGCCAAAATTTTGTATTTCATTTTGGATTTTTTAAACTTAATTTGTGGGGTTAGGGGGAGTCTTGTTTCCTAAAAGGAAGAATTTGAATGGAAAATTCAATTCAATAATCTTTGCCATCAAAATGGTTCAATATTCTCAAAAAGCATTGCCCAGTACTCTTTTGTCTTTGCTGGATTGAGGTCCCCTAAATGAATTCAATTCATCCAGAAAATATCTTTGCCTAATGTGGGTCAATGATAACTGCAGGCCTTCAGAATCCATAATTGAGACAAAGGGTCCATTTGAAGCCCAAGACAACGTTGAACCTGGTGGCCGAACCCTTCGTCGTTTCTTTGATGATTGGCCTAGATCACTTCAAGAAACTGATAATGCCACCAGCTCTGCGGCTTCAGCCACCAACTTGTCGATTTCAATGGAGACGGGAAACCCGTCATCAGATTTCTCATTGAAACTCAGTACTGGATACGATGGAGATGACTCTGGACCGCAGGTTATTAATGGCCCGAGGGATAGGCTTCAATTGAATTGGGCTGCACCATGGGGGACTAATCAGGTGGCTCCAATGGGCGGACCCCTTGCTGAGGCACTAAGATCATCAACATCCAATTCATCACCCACAAGTGTCCTGCATCAATTGCCGCCACGTGGTTCAGCTTTGGTGCCTGAATAATTTGAGTTATGCTGGCAGCTGGATGGATTGGCCCTGTCTGTCCCCAGCC